GGCCAAAACTTTCTTTTTTTTTGTATTTTAACTCTCTTTTTTCAAATTTTCTTTCAAAAACACTCTCCAAATTCAAAATTTCGCCAATTTTTTCTAAATTTATTTTTAATTTTGTCCTTAATTTATTTATTTATTTCAAAATTTCAATAAAATTAACTTAAAATAAATCGAATTAATTATTTATATAATTTTTTATAATAATAAAAAAAATTCCAAACCCCATTTTCGGTCCCGGGTATTACACCATATCATTAAAAGAATTTTTTCTTAGAAAAAGAAAATTAAATATCACACTGTTTTTATCCACATGTACCCCTCTTAATTTTGTTTACAGGGACAAAAAAATCATCCCCTCACTTAGCATAAAGTAAAATAATGACTTGAATGGGTTTAATAGGAACCAATATCTCACAGCATTTTAAAGCCATCTTATCTTAGTTACTTATATCCATAGTTGGCCAACAAACATACAGCATCACAATTCAATCCTAATGAACTTTTATATTCAACTAAAATTCTTATTCGATTCTTGTTTGTTCTTTTCATGAGTTTTTATTTTTTAAAATCAAATGTTCATCTATTATACACCTCAAAACTGTGCAAGTCATGTATAAAAAACTATAATAAGTACGTTTATGAGTGTATAATTATAAATACGTACAATAACATTGATTAAATATGGGTGTAATAATCATATGGTTACTTATGTTTTTTTTTTAGCATATTAAATATTGACCAAATATATTATTTATATTAGTTAAAAATTAGTATTAACTTATATTGTCCACTCAAACCATTATCAAATGCTTTTTTTTTTTACGTAATTACATAAAATATTATTTCATCTTAAAATAAATTATTATTGAAAAATTAGACAACTCTTTTTACAAGTATTGGTTCATGGGGCTAATTTTACAATGTAAAGCTTTACAATGAACTATATATATATATATTTTACATTTTCTGGCCCATCTCATGAACCCAATTTGAGCTCAGCCCATCAATGTTTTTCTAAATTAAAAGAGAGATAGAGAATATATATATATAGTTTCCTTTATGTTTTTTTTTAAGATACAAAGAAAAAATTGACAATGCAATACAGAACTCACCTCCGAATAATACACATTTTAAGAAAAGAGAGTTCGACAATATGTTTTAAAATTTTTTAAGAGGGTGCAAATGATAATTTTCAAAGAATTAATGGAAGGTTTTATTCGTCGAGTAATCAGTACACCGAGAAATAAATATATTTTCTTTATGTTTTTTAGTATTTTTTTTTATATTTATTAATTAATTTTTTCTTAAATTAAAAAAAATGTGGAGAATGGAGGTGGCTTTTGTCACTGTCCTTTGCGGTGTAATGAAGTCTCCAATCAAACTTACACACACCTTGTGGGTCCCACCTTTCTTGGATGCCTGCCAACTTTGAGAGGCGAGCCCACTGCCTCACTTCGCCTTCAAGATAAAGCAAACCATAAAAACCCGCAGAACAGTTTTAATTTGAATAAATTTTTACATTAAATTTATTTCAATTTTTTAATTAAATTAATTAATTTTTATACCCAAATAATAATAATAATAATGCTGTGAGAAAATTCCTGATCTCGTGTCACGCGTGAGAGATTTGAAGTCACTGCATCAAAACCAGCAGGTCAGTTGTCAATGGCAGACGCAGTCAACCATTCACGTTCTTTGACTTTTTTTAATCTGAAGTCATATATTATGTATGGTAAATTATATAAAAACCAAAGAAACCGAAAGGAATAAATTTAATATAAATTTTCGAAATTACAAATTTAATTATATAATAATAATAATAAAATTTAGCGTACGAAATAAAAGAAAATTAAAAATTCAAATATTACTGGAAAATATATAATAAATAAATTCCTAAATTAAAGGGAAAGGATTTTGAAAATTAAGAAAAATGAGAATTATCGCGGTGTAAAAGGTTGCACGCCATTCTATATACGTGACGTCATCGGCCTCTCGAAATCCTCCCCCTTACATGCTCAAACTGCAAAAGCCTCGTCCCGGCTATGATTCCCTGCTTTCGGCTGCAGTCGTCAATACGGGGGAGCTTTATGTAATTTTCGAAAATATGGTGGTGCAAATTAAAATTATTACAATGTGCGATTATTTTAAATAATATTTTTAATAGTTAAAATATAATTAAAACTACTTATTTTTACTAAAAAAAAAAAGCCAATTTTTATATTTATTTTAAAAATAATAAATATTATTATTAATTATATCCCCAAACAATATATATTATATTAATAATTTTTACCAAAAAAAAAAAGGTAAAAAAATGAAACGGATTGATAATTAAAAAGTTAAATATTAATACAAATTAAACTAAAAATCTACTTGTCACATAATTATGGGCATAACTACCACATCATACACTTGTAAATTCCATTAGGCGCCCATAATTTTTTATTTTAAATAATGTTAAACCTAACTCCCTTACGTGTTTAAACTTAAGTACCTTCTAATTACTGTTTGATTATGACGGTTTATAAAATAACAAACACGTGTTTATCGTTCATAAAAATTTACGTTATATACGTCATCTTTGCTTTTAATATTTTAATTATTTACTTTTTTTAAATAATATTTTATTTTAAATTAATGTTATTAAATTTGTTAGATCTAATGTTTTATAATTTAAGTAAATTATAAAGAATATGGTTGTAATTGTATTATTAAATTAAAAAAACATTATAATTATTTTAGTATAAAGTTAAAATTTAATAATAAAGTAAATAAATAAATTGGAGTAAAGCTCCTCATGATAATATTTGAATCTTAACAGAACTCCAAAAAATACGTACAGGTAAAACTGGCATTCACGTATATATTATATTCTAATGATTTATAAATTGGAAGTTTTTTTAGTGTATAATGTTAAGAACTTAACTTGGATATTAATGCGTTTAAAATACGCGCTCAACTTGAAATTCCCTCTATATCCAACCAACCAGATTTTTTATTTGATTATAGTAAGGGCAAAATAGTAAATATGTAACGAGTGTAAAATTGTGTTTTTCAGACTGTGCACTCCCAAACATTTTGCGCCTTGATAATATAAAATCATCTGCCACCCTCACTTCACGACTTCATTCCTTCCTCAACTCTCTCTCTCTCTTTCTCTCTCTCTGTAGGCCAGGCGTTTTCTGGGGTGCCGACACCCGGAGTTTTCTAGGGTTCCGGCGACGGAAGAGGATGGCGCTGCTGTCGGAGCTTGCTACGGAGATCTTGATCCCAATATGCGCCGTGGTAGGGATCGCCTTCTCGCTGGTGCAGTGGTTCTTGGTCTCGCGAGTGAAGCTCACTCCTGACCGCAGCACATCGTCCAACAACAGCAAGAACGGCTACAACGACTACCTCATCGAAGAGGAGGAAGGAGTTAATGACCACAGTGTTGTGACTAAGTGCGCTGAGATACAGAATGCCATTTCTGAAGGTGAGGTTCAAAAATTTCAATCCAGATCTTTCAGCTTTTAATTTAGATCTGGAGACTTCTTCTTTTACTTTTTTTTTACTGCAAATAGCTTTTTGTGTGTCCGTAGCGTTTTAGTTGTGCTTGTATGGAATTTTGAGTTGGCCAGATTGGATGATATTTTGAACTAATTGCAACTTAAATTTATTTTTAGCCTCTGTAGAATTCGTATGTGAGAGATTTGGATCATTTGAGCTTTCGCAGCCTTTTTACTTTGAACCTAAACAATATTAGAAGAAGAGAAATTTGAATCTGTATTTTTTTTCTCTTGTTTTAATTTATTCATGTCTAATCGAGCTTTTGCCTAGTCACGTATTTAAAAGTACCTATTCAAATCTTCGAGGTAAAAAATTGACGTTCGAATTAACTTTTACATTTTTTACTACACTCTATTAAGAATTAGGTAAAAGTTTGGATCACCTAGTTTAAGATGCTCGGTTGAGCAGCCCTACTTAGCCTCCTTAATGGAGGTTTAATGTTAATGTTGGATTTTCTCGTAGCAGAAATGAGCTTCTTCTGCTGCTAGATCTGGTTTTTTTTCTTTTCTTTTTTTTTTTTCAAAGTTACTGTTCTTATTTTTACTAATTTTGTTTTGGATGTTTAGAGTAATAATTGTGGGGGAAACGATAATTATTATCTGGGTGGTGTAGGTTTGGACTTTGAATACTAAAGGCAGTTACAGTGTTTCCTTGTCTTATCTAATTAAAGATTATTTGGCTTTACATGTCTTATTGTTAATAGTGCAATGGTCACGTGTGTTGCACATGGATGATGTAATCTTCTAGGTTTACCAAAGACCACATTGCGAAGCATCGTTTTGGAACGTAGATTAACGCTTTCTGGGCATTCTGTTTTTATTTATAATTTTTATATTTATTTTCTGATTAAGATATTTTATGCTTTTGGACCTTTATGTTGTCTTGTCAACTGTTTATGTTATGACAATTACAAAGAGTTGAAACTTTACGTTTGATGTGGTCTTTATTCAAGTAAGATATGCTAGCTGTGCTGATATTATCAGTTCAATTTTATTATTTCTATAAAAATAAAGTCTAACTATGTTATTTGGGTATTGATAACAAATGGCTTATCTGCATACACTCGGGCTAGCGATTGATATCAAATATTGTGCTTTGCTAAGACTGGCATTGGGATCAGAATTATGTAGGCCTCATTTTATGGCCTAGCGATTGATACCAAAAAGAGAAATTCAAACTTAGAAACTTGAATTAAAGCATATTGTTTGCAATGTGGCTTTTTCATATTTCCATTTCAAAGGTTAAGAAAATGAATTGGTATAGAAACATCCCTCTTATAATTGTACATGCTTCCATAACAATAACATAGTTTGTTATGAGCTCCCATTTCGTACATGGGCAGTATATGAAGTACCCTTTCTTTTCTGGCTCTTATTCCTTAAACATTTTTATGGGGCTTTTTATAGCTAGCAAGTATAACAGATTGTAAAATATATTGATCTGCAGTATGTTTTATGTGTTAATTCTAGTTCAAATATAATTATATTGAATTATTGATGTATGCTGTTTTGGCACCAGGATGCCTTTTCAACCACATAATTATTGATTTCTCTATTTGAGTCTTTTTTCTTTACATGGTTAATTCATTAACTTTTATTGAGAAGGGAGAAAAATACCTATATACTAAATAAATTATGGTTGTCTACAGGAGCAACATCCTTTCTTTTCACGGAATACCAATATGTTGGGGTCTTCATGGTTGCTTTTGCAATTCTGATCTTTGTTTTTCTGGGTTCTGTTGAGGGTTTCAGTACAAAGAGTCAGCCTTGCACTTATGATGCCCACAAGATGTGCAAACCTGCACTTGGTACTGCAGTCTTTAGCACTTTGTCCTTCTTGCTTGGTGCTTTCACCTCTGTGCTCTCTGGTTTTCTTGGGATGAAAATTGCTACATATGCCAATGCAAGAACTACATTGGAGGCAAGAAAGGGTGTGGGGAAAGCCTTCATTACCGCATTTAGGTCTGGTGCTGTGATGGGTTTCCTCCTTGCTGCAAATGGTCTTTTAGTGCTTTACATCGCCATTAATCTCTTTAAGTTGTACTATGGCGATGACTGGGAAGGCCTCTTTGAGGCTATTACCGGCTATGGTCTTGGGGGATCTTCAATGGCTCTGTTTGGTAGGGTTGGTGGTGGAATTTATACAAAAGCTGCTGATGTTGGTGCCGATCTTGTAGGAAAGGTTGAGAGAAACATTCCAGAAGATGACCCAAGAAACCCAGCTGTAAGCCAATGACATTATCTGAATATATTATATATAACTTAGGCTGAGAACATTCAGTAGATCTCCTTTTTTTCCTATTGCATCTAATAATTGGCTTAACTGTTACCTTTTAGGTCATTGCTGATAATGTTGGTGATAATGTTGGGGACATTGCTGGTATGGGTTCTGACCTTTTTGGCTCCTATGCTGAATCATCCTGTGCTGCCCTTGTTGTTGCTTCCATCTCCTCCTTCGGAATCAACCATGATTTCACTGCAATGTGTTATCCTTTACTCATCAGTTCTGTTGGAATTCTTGTTTGTTTGATTACAACACTTTTTGCCACTGATTTCTTCGAGATCAAGGCTGTAAAGGAAATTGAACCAGCACTGAAAAAGCAACTTATCATATCCACGGTCCTGATGACAGTGGGGGTTGCTATCATTAGTTGGCTTGCTTTGCCATCATCTTTCACAATCTTCAATTTTGGGACACAGAAGCTTGTAAAGAACTGGTAAGATTTATGTTCTCTATTGCTAGTAATCAAGTGTGTTGATTGTTTACTCTTAAGTACTCCAATTAATTAGATGAGCATGTTATATTTTCTGGTAACTTGATGTACTTTGTTGTCTGTCTTTGTAAATGTTCCTCGCTATGAAGGTTCTGTAGAAATTGGCAAAAAATTATCTTAAATGTTAATGATGTTATAATTGACGATTTTTTTTCTCTATCTGGGTGTATTTCTACAATAGAGTTGCCAATTGTTCGAAACTGCAAGACGATCTATGCATGCTTTAAACAGAAACGCATTTCAAAACATGGTTAACTGCTAAATGTAATTGGCCTTGAAAATTAACAAACTAGTGTTCTGGTCCCAGTTTAATTTTCTTCATTTGTCTTTTTTCTCGAGTCCAGTTTCTTCCCACATACATCCTGTGTAAGTTTCTTATACAACAAAATCCACAGAACTTGCTTATGAAATACCATAAACTTTAATAGGAGAATAACTTAGGAAACACATTGAGCTTCTAAAGTAGAAAAACAAGGCTTTATTTAATATTTTGTAGTTTATGTTTTTGGTTTCTTGTTGTGACTCGTGCATCGACAATTATCTCATTTCATTGTTTGGGCATGCTGTATTAGATGCACCGTTCTTTCACCAAGTACTGCTTTAGTCACTCTCTTGAACAACAGGAAAAGTGTTGCTCTAACTGCGAGCTTGATATGGTTTTGCAGGCAGCTGTTTTTGTGTGTTGCTGTTGGTCTTTGGGCTGGGCTAATCATTGGGTTTGTCACAGAGTATTATACTAGCAATGCCTACAGGTATGAAAAATAATTATTTTGCACAGCAGCATTTCGGCTGATGTTTCCATCTTGATCATGTTCTTTTTCTTAATTTGCAGCCCTGTCCAAGATGTTGCCGATTCCTGCAGAACAGGAGCTGCCACCAATGTTATATTTGGTCTTGCTTTGGGTTACAAGTCTGTCATTATTCCAATTTTTGCCATTGCTGTCAGCATTTTTGTTAGTTTTACCTTTGCTTCAATGTATGGTATTGCTGTGGCTGCCCTGGGAATGCTCAGCACAATTGCCACTGGTTTGGCCATTGACGCCTATGGTCCTATTAGTGATAATGCTGGGGGCATTGCTGAGATGGCTGGCATGAGCCACCGAATCCGTGAAAGAACTGATGCTCTTGATGCTGCTGGGAACACCACTGCAGCCATTGGAAAGGTACCTTTTAATATCCTCCCAAGAATGTATGTGGCTTCACTTAATTCTTTAGATGCCTTTGTTTGCTCTAGAGGTCTAGAATTGGTGTGGCTTTTTCCTCGTGAAATGAACCAGGGATTTCAACATTAATCATGTAACATCAGAAGCATTAAGGTTTTGGTTGGTCATTCAATTTTTTAATTCTAGTTCTCATATTAGTTTTAATTTGCATAATATGAACTTCATTTGTAGTGGTTGCTATACTATATTATTACCTTGAATTCTTTGACAATGAAAATCAATCCCTACTTATGTATAATGGGAACATCATTTGTGGTGGTTTAGTTATCCCACTGCCATTTCTAGTATTTCTTTTTAATGGTGGGAATTCAACTCCCAGCTTGAATTAGGAATTCAATTCCCATTGTTAAGATATTTAAGGACTGGTGGTAATGACTTAAGTATAGTAAGTTACGTTTTAGTTATGCACAGTAAGAATAATATGGCAGTTATAGATAGGAACTTAATGAGAATTCCTACCAAATGCACTGTAAATCCCAATTTTTATTGTTTCTGATTTAGTTGGAGGCTATTCTGATTATTTCTTCTTACTCTTACGCTTGTCTTTTAAGCTTGCAAAGGACTGTCTGAAAACTGCTATTTCCTGTGCTCATAGTTTTCAATCTTTTGCTTATTTATTTTTTATCTTCATCCTCTACCAAATATAAGGCATTATTGAACCCTCCACTTTTTTTGTGATCAGGGATTTGCCATTGGATCTGCCGCACTAGTTTCTTTGGCTCTCTTTGGTGCTTTTGTGAGCCGTGCTGCTATTTCGACTGTTGATGTCTTAACCCCGAAGGTCTTCATTGGTTTGATTGTTGGTGCCATGCTTCCTTACTGGTTCTCTGCTATGACAATGAAGAGTGTGGGAAGTGCAGCTCTGAAGATGGTTGAAGAGGTTCGTAGGCAGTTCAACAGCATTCCTGGTCTCATGGAGGGTCATGCCAAGCCTGATTATGCTACCTGTGTCAAAATTTCCACCGATGCATCTATCAAGGAGATGATTCCACCTGGTGCCCTTGTCATGCTTACTCCCCTTATAGTTGGAACCTTCTTTGGTGTTGAGACTCTGTCTGGCGTCCTTGCTGGTTCTCTCGTTTCCGGTGTGCAGGTAATTTTTGAGCATCAAAATGGCAATTAAAGGACGATTTATTCACTAGTTACTATAGTCTCTGTACGGATGTTGATTGAGTGTGCATGTTTTTTGACTACTCTCTGGGTTTTTAACAGATTGCAATATCTGCATCAAATACTGGTGGTGCATGGGATAATGCAAAAAAGTATATTGAGGTAAGTAATGTGTAGAACAAACTTACATTGCCTTCCATTATCTCTTGCCCGGACATGAGCTTGTATATCTTTACAGTATCATATAAAGATGGATTATTAAAATAACTTTGGTTTGGATTTTATTAATCAGGCTGGTGCCTCGGAGCATGCGAGAAGTCTTGGTCCAAAGGGGTCTGAGCCGCACAAAGCGGCTGTTATTGGTGACACCATTGGGGACCCGCTCAAGGATACCTCTGGCCCATCCCTCAACATCCTCATCAAGCTTATGGCAGTGGAATCTCTGGTATTTGCTCCCTTTTTTGCCACCCATGGTGGTCTGCTTTTCAAGATCTTCCAAGCGTAGCGAGAAGAAGCACATCAGGGAAGCTGGTGGTTAAGTTTGTCCTTGTAGAAGTATCTGTAGTTTCATCACAAGCTTAATCTCTACATCTTCCATTCCCCATTTTTTGGGGGGTTTTTTTTTGGGTCAAATTAGTTTTCTTAGTTTAGAGAATACTATTTTTGATGGGCTGGATGGATGATTATAAAATTGGTCAGAACGAGGACTAAGATGTTGTGTATTGTATTTCCTTTTAAGAACAGCCTGAATTTTGAATCTTGTAACTCTTTATCTTTTCCCATTTGAGCGAGAGAGGATTTTGATTGCTTTTATTGTTTGATGTCATTCAATTTCTTTGCTAGACACTCTTTGAAAGTGGCAAGAAGACGATTTTGTAAACTCTGATGTTTTAAGGATATGATATTTTTATTCAGACTTTTTTGTGTAAATAAAATTCGCATGGATTATTAATTATAGCTTTAGTCTATTAGGTTTTGTTATAATTAACTTTACTACGCCTTTGCACACGGTTATAAAATGAATAATAAAAAGTACATGATATATGTATATATATATACGGAATTTTGTCCGTGGAAGAGTAATCTCATAAATTATGAGGTTATTTACACGGAGGTAAAAGTTAGATTTATAAGGTAATTGTTCCAATTGGCATTTTATTTGGTTTAATGTTTCTACCTCTTAAATAAGTTTATAAAGACTTTGAAAATAAAGTGGTAAGTAGGAAATTTTTTTCGTGGGGCAGGCCGCGTATTAATAAATTTCTATCCTCTTCAAATATGAGTTGTGTGTGAATTCGTATTTTTAGGGCTAGCTTCATAAGAAGGTATGATATTTTTTATTTAAACCTGCTTAAATCGATTTGCATGAACTCGATCTAATGCAGATTTCTTTGTTAAATAATAGGTTTAGGTTTCGGCTGCAAGTTCTAATCAAATTTAGTCCAAATTTGAACTGGTATATATGTATATATTAAAAACATAAATATAAATATATAAATATAATCATTTTTATGTTATTGTAATATAATTATCGGGGTGGATAATTGATAAACCTATTAAGATTTAAAAAATTAAAAAAAAATTATAAATTGCTTTACGTTTAGGAGAGATTCGTGTTTATAATTTATAAGAACATATCAGGTTTGAATATAGTGAGAGCTTTGAGCTTTTTATTTTATAATTCATATAAAGAAAATACATGATAGAAGAGCAAAATATTATTATAAAAAGAACATAAGTAGGAAACGAAATAAATGAAGCATTCGTGTTTGCTTAGCCAAGTGCAAATAAGTCAACATCTTCTTTGTCTTTATTCTATTACTAGAATTTTTCTTCATAAAAGTTTTTTCTTATCCAACAAAAGAGCCGAGAGATGTTTAGTACTGACAAGTGCATCAAAGATGCAATCATCAATTCTCCTAAGAGGTCACAATTACTGCGAGCAAACAAATTAATTTGATAAATGCACTTTTGCTACGCTACTAATACTTGTACTTGCTTTGTTATTATGCCCAAGCTTGGTTGAGGAAATGATACGGGGCATAAAAAATAATATGTTGATTCAGGTCGGTAATATTAATACTATAGGACAAAGAACCATTTTTAATAAATTTAAAATTGAAATAAAATAAAAAATAAGGTCACTCAATTTCAACAAAAGACTCACCCCCAAATTCAATAACTTTGAATCCCCTATCTCGATCACGATTTTCCTACCCCCAGAGAGAAAGGTCCTTCCCTTTTAGGCTAGTTGTGGGCTAGGAGGGATTCAAACCCTCAATACCATGGTTTGTAGCAACGTGCCCTAGTCCTTTGAATTGCAAGCCACACCTCATCTCTATTAGATCTATTCCCATGAGTACCCTAAAAAAGGAACATTTCATCTCCCAGTTATTTCGGGTTAAGAAGATGTGAAGCATCTTTTTTTTTTTTTAAGAACGGTGCGTTTCAAGGTGTGAAGTGGGAGAGAAGGGATTTCATAATTGGGGTTTTGAATAGAATGACCTTTTCATTTTTTATTTTTTTCTTTGTTTTTTCATATTGAAAAAGTAATAAAAATGAGAGGTGTTAAAACTTTTTATCATCTTAATGTCGAGCTATTTTTTCGTAGGACCTCACCTACAATATCATCACCACAGTAGAGTTTAACCACCAAGTTCGGGATGTATTGGTGTTGTTCCTCTATGCCTAAGAGACCATAATATCGAACCATAAACGAAGAAATGTATGCTAGAAAAACATATTGGCTAGTGATTGTTAGCCCCCAATTCTTGACTTGAAGGGATACCAAAAGCCTCCACCCTTTTATCTCTTGGATATATAGAGAAAGAGGCTAGAGCTTTTGGTTTTTTCATATTGTTAAAGAGTTGAACAATAATTTTTTTGTGTTGTCAAAGAGTTTAACAATGAAAATAGATGATGAGTGCCTGATTGAATTGATTGTGTCATGTAGGAACAGGATTCAAGTCTATCGGTCTTAGGATGCCTTAACTGCATACATACATCACTGCACTTTTACTTGACACCTATCATAATTATAAATAGCTTGTTTCGCTGTGGCCTTCTCTTAAATTTTCAAAACTTCTATTACTTCATCCCCGCGGGGGTAGAGAACCCATTAGTAGCTCAGTTGTGCTACCAGAGGTTATAAGGAAATCAAAATAAAAGAACATTCACCTTGGAGTGGGCTTACTACTTAAATGCTTCCAGAAGTTATATACTCCGCACTTGGCCACCCAGCATGTACCATGGGCACGATATTTGGTACACCAGAAATGTGTCATTTGCAATCCTCTTGCTCTAGGGAAAGGTCCTCTCAATACTCTAACGTCCATACCGGATATGGATTGCATTGTCTTATGACGTTATAAACCCAACTCACATATCATGGGGCGAACAACCCAATCCTTAAAATATATTACAGCCACATGTGATGAAGAGCCGACATCGAGGTGCCAAACTTTTTCGTTGATGTGAGTTCTTGGAAAAAATCAGTATGTTATCCCTATAGTAAGTTTTATCTGTTGAGCGACGACCTCTGTAATACCTAGGTTCAGAATTTGGTCTGAGATCAATTTTAACATTTCAAATATATAAAAAAATTTATTTATTAAACTAATTTATTTTAATTTTTGTTGAATTTATGAAAAAAAATAGGATAGGGATGAAATCGAAAATAATTTTAGAAAAAAGAGATGAAAATTTGAGTTCGGATGATGTTTTCAAAAAAAATTAGAAATAGGGAGTCATAGTGCAAATAGAAAAAGTTGTGTCACGTAAGACCGCCCAGTCAGCAACCTCAACGAACCAGAGTACACTGCATGGCAAGGCACGTTGACATTGGTGCCTCGCAGGATGCCACGCGGGCGATCCGCGTGTCCCACGATTGGACAACCCAAGATCGATCTCGCGTGCATGGACAACTGAATTTATTCCTCCTTTAAGCACAATTGAACGGTCGAGATCAAATTATGATGGATGGTCCAGATTTATTTTTCCTTTAAGTACGATCGGACGGTCGAGATTAAATCACGATGGACGGACCAGATTTATTTTTCCTTTAAACGCGATCAGATGGTCAATATCGATCGTTATGGATTGCCCAAATCAAAGCGGGATGGATATAAATACCTTGTATCACACGGAAACCCAAACCCTAGCCGTCAGCCCCTGCCGAAGAAGAAAAATTAGACACTGGAGAAAGAGATTGACTGTCGATTGCTGTCACGCCGGA